GACGTGCGAGCGGTCGCGTAAGCGGCGGACGGGCAGCGGCGCGCCTCGCCTCCCTACTCCTCGCCCCGCACCGCCATTCTATTCCTCGCCGAACACCGCCTCGAGCGGGGCCGCTAGGCCGGTCACCTCACCGCGCGCTTACATTCGCCAGTAGGTTGGACTAATACGGCGATTTTTAAAATTTCGTATCTCGATAACTATTCGTCCAAGCGCAAAATAGTACAATACTTTTCTGTTTGTCTTAGTCCCCTCTACCTTCCCATGACCGGACGTCAAAGTCTTGCGTAGCACCCTGTATAACAAATGAATAATACATCAAACAATGCATTTGGCTGCAAAATTGTATATCCTAGAATTAACTAATTATTTATGAATGATTGAAATATTGTAAGGAAATATTATGTTTGAAATATTATGAGGAAACAATTAATAAAAATAAGTTTAAAACATTATACAAATTGTAGTCATTATTTATTATATAAAACTGAAAATTTATTGCTCGACCTTTGTCATATTCGCGCGCGCGTGTACATTGCACAAATATACGCGTATAAAAATTTTTATTGCCTTTAAAGTTTGAAATGAAATGCTCTTAATCAATAATAAGAGTTCCATGCATTCTCTAGAATCGTTTTATTCCGTTTATTAATGTTATGCCAAATGATGTACAATCTAATATTGCACTACCTATGTATAATCTAATATTATACTTTTTGCATATGAATTATAAATGTTGTTACAACGTTACGTAGTAATATTTTTTAAAGTAAACTCCGTATCGTTGCTGTAACAATTTTATTCAAATAATTGCTAATCTTGCAGCAATCTCGCAGCAATCTCGCATGTTTCACATCGTTTCTGCAATGTCACAATCTTCCAATGAAATGTTACAATATTCTTACAATCTTACTGTGCTGTATAGGTTGTGCCAAGGTTCGTTGCATGACAGTGAGTTGCGATGTCCTTCACATCAAGCCAATTTTCTTACTTTTCTACTTCTACAGTGATAACATCACATTTCTCATTATAATAGTAATTGCTTTTTACATTGATAACACTTCAAATTGTTATTAAAACAAAGCTATATTTTGTCATGTTTTTAATAATTTTGCAATTCAATAGTAATAATACTGAATATACTTCATAATATCTTATAATAATAAATATACAATATAATATATTATTTCTTATCTTTTTTATATGTATTTTCGGAACTTTTATATTTTTACGATAACAATAATTTCATAAGTTTTTGATTCTTATTTTGCTTCTTTGATCAACTGTTTCACATATTTCAATGATGTTCAATATGGAGAAACTTACCGAAAGTGAAAGTGATGCAGTGTCGCAAACCGCTTGGTAAGTTCGTCAGAGCGAAATCTGTTAGTTAACGATTCGTTGATCGTCGCTCAACGTCGCAGCAAGTGTCTTTAGATACTTACCGTGTGTTCTCAAGAGTAAATCAATCAAAAAATTAATTTAATCTTTCTAACTATTTAAATTAATTTTGTATAAAGTGAGTTTCAAAGTTTAAACTTTTCTTTGTTGGAAAGATAATTTCAGAAATCTTTTCTTAAAGAAAAAACATCAAAGAGCAATATGTTACGAATGTTAATAATTTTATTATTTATTTGCTCGTTGGGCTTAACAAGTGCCCGTCCTGCTGAAGAACCAACAAGATTCGCTCTCGGCAACGTACAAAATAATGCAGAAAACATCACGCTTTCAAAACTGGAAGAAACAAAGGTAAAATTGTGCGCGGGTAAAATGTGTTTGCGAAAATAAATGGAAATGCAATCTTTGGAAAACGCAATTAAGACAAAGAACTGACATGTACATTAGATTACCTCGTTTCAAAGCTTTGAAAACGGCAAAGCAGGAACTAGATCTAAACTTATTACAAAATCAACGTAAAAGATTGTTTACTTCCTCAGTTGTACCCAAAATTCTAATTGGATCCTTGTAATTTGCCACTACAATCGGCAGGCATAGTCAAAATTGTTATTTCGTAGGAATTATTAGAACGTGTCGGCGATGCTATTAGAATTGGCGGAGGAAGATTTGTCAATTTACTAACATTGGCTAGAAATATCATTGCCAATCGAGCAGAGGTAATCACTACATCTATAGCATTTATACAACGACAATTTACTTCTAATAACGTAATTATTCACCTATGAAATATCTTCATTAGTTATTATAAAAAATCATCGTCTTGTACACGATGATATTCTAGTCAATATGGTATCTTTTTTGTACAATAACATGCAGTAATTCATTAAGATTATAGATCAAAACCCAATTGTAGACGATACCAAAACGTTACTCTCGTATTAACAATAAACAGTACAAGACATATAAAATTGCTGTTATTCCCTTTGCATTTTCTTACCATTTTCGCTAGTCATTTTAGCTATTGTGCTAATATATTCTTGTTTGCATAATTTTTAATCATTGTTGGCATACATTAATACATTTTTCTTTTTCAGCAAATAAACAACGAATTTCGAAATAGTCTCGATACGTTAATTATTAAATCTGACAAACCTCAAAGTCGCAGATCTATACCACCTTTACCAAGTACAACGCCAATAATTTTGTTTCCTCCGATACCGCGAGAAACGGCTCGTTTAGAAAACGATACTGCACAAGCTATTTTAGAAAAACCATATCTTGACAACGTCAGACAAGTTTTTAATAGTTTTGTAACTCCAAAACCACTTGTTGATCGAATTAGGGACGACGAAAAATATGGCAATACAGGAGATAAATTTGTTGGACTCGGAAGAGCGATCATTAATGGTTATGAGAACTTTAGCAATTTTCTGAACTTATTAACGGCAGTAAGTCATAAAATAATAAATATATTAATGCAATGAATATTGAGAACAGTTTAAAAAATAAAAATAGAGTAAGACGTAAGAATCTCCTTAAACAAAAACCTAAATATGCAATATAGTAACTTGTAAAAAAAATTTGTGTTTTTAGTTTCCTAGTGGAATCTTGAAGAACACTTCTGAAGGACTAACGCAAACATTGGATGCAATAGGAGCACGGCTTATTGGACTCCAATAATAAACGATTATAAAAGACGCAATTAAAATCAAATGTACATAAATTAAATAAAAAGTTACATATTTCAGGAAAAACTTAATGTACATAAATTAATAAATTTACAGACGTAAAATTATGCAATTTCTTAATATCATATGCGGAAGTGTTATACATATGCGGAAATATTGATTTGCGATAACAAAAATGAGTTCTACAATATTTAGAAATAATAACTTTACGTAATAGCATAAATAACGTAACTAGCATAATTTTGGTATAATTTCCAATAAACGATAAATTTGCGGCATTCCTTTATAAAGAAGTTCTCAATGAGTCAAACGCATAATAGTGTATTCTTTAGAAATATTTTCCTCGTACAAGTTAATCTTATACGAAGTTAAGGAATATCATTCTACAACTTAATATTTTCATAATAAAATTTATAAGGCTTTTTATGTGTTAAACACAAATTCAAAGGAATAGAAAGGCTAAGAGCCGCGACAGGGTGTTAATATTTTCACTAAGTACAAACATCGTCTGTGACAATGCGGATACTGTATGTATTTCTATTGTTGGTCCTCATTGGAAGCGTCTTTGGAAAAGCAGTATGTATACATTACACTAATCGATACATCATAATAATTATTACTTTCTCATTTCAGATAATTATTATTAATATATCATGCATATTAACTGATAAGGGTGAAATAAACCTATAATATTACTGGGCACGTAGATATAATTTGTTTACAACAAATAAAAACCTTTGCTATATTTGTAGAAGTATAACAGTAATATTAATTTATTAATAGTAGATATAATAGTATAACAGTATACTAATAGTCAGTAATTTAAAAAATTCAGTGTTAAAAATTGTACGATATTTCTAAATAATAATCAAAACATGTTCAAAATCTAGTTGCAATAAAAAATATGATATTTACATCACGAAAATTCTGGATGTGTTTAATATACAGAACAGGAATGTTATAGATCAAACTTGTTTGTTAGAATTTATTATTTAGAATTTCTTATCTATTACAATTTTGTATGCGAAATTGTCAAATTAACAACTAATAAAGACTTCTCTGTCATTCAATCTTTTATCTTCTTTTTAATTAGGTTAATGATTCAAATTCTGAAGGATTGTTAATGATTGAATCTAAACGTGAAGGACCAAGTGAAGGATCGAATAAAGAGATCAATTTGGTAAAGGTTACATATAGAAATAAGTTATATTTATTATCAAAATTTTAAGAATATTCTAAAAAGAGATAGGAAAGTGTATATGAATAAGAACATTTTTTTATATAGTTTAAAATAAAATTATATACAAGATAATCCACAATTTATTTAACAAATTTAATTGTTTTCTTTAAAGATTATATTTATGAGAATATAACTTTAACACAAATATAAAAATTAATATTACGAAGCTTATTATAAAATTTATAACAAGCAACGCGTCAGATCAGTTGTTAGAATTTTACTACCTATCTAATAATCTCATTCATTTTATACACGATTGTTAACTAAATTGGTGATTAATAAACTTCTTTTAATTCATTTGTTTAATTAGAATGATGGAGGCAGTCTTGGTTCAAATCCTAAGGAAGACTTAAATATTAAAGATTATGATGCACAGGACGGAATACATAATCGTATGGTAAGCGTAAAAAAACTATACTTACTATGAAAATACAAGAAATATTATAAAAAGTGATAAAGAGGAATAAAGAGATGTAAAAAGGTATTAAAAAAAACATAAAAATAATATGTAGAAAACATAGAGAGAGACAACGTGTAAAGAAAATGTTTTATGATTTATTTACACTAAATAATTATGTAGATTAATTGATCACCATTTATCTAATAAAAATTAATCTATTTTCTGTAAAAATTACATTTAAAGCCAATTTCTCCTTAGCATAAATATGAAAATTAACATAAATGTAAATTGTAAAATTGTAAATTTTTTTAAAGATAATATTTTAAGTAACAGAAATGTATTAATTATTTACAACAAATTTTTAACGGTTAGAAATAAAACGCTAATTGAAGAAATAACGTCGTTTATTTTATATCAATCACATTATACTTGATTAATTATATCATAAATGTAAACTACATATATTATGTTATTACTTTTGTATACTAAAACTTCTTAAAATGTTTGCAGTTTTTTAAGTCATATAAGTTATATATATTTGGACTAATCATAAGAGAAATCATAAGAGAAATTCTTGATAGAATTGGAATTAATATGCCACCAACTCTTATGCCACCAACTGTTAATCCACCAACTGCTCTTCCAGGATAAAATATCTTTACATACAAGGAAAATAGAACCATCGTGTAAGTTATAAATACATTTGTTGATGTTAAATAATTTTCAGCAATAATTTTATAATATCCTTACACACGCACGCGCACGCACGCTCGCACAAAATATATTAATTTTTATATATATGTGTATTAATTTTTTTACAGGAGGAACAACTGCTATTATCGACATTACAATTTACTATTGCACAACACTGCATCTAAGAATATTGTACGCTTTTTCTATTATGATCTATAAAGAATATATTGACAATTTTGTCTGCTTTATTAACTTTTACTATTACATATTGTGAATGTATTATCTCTTTTAATAAACCTTAAATGTTTAATTATATAAAATTGTACGTATTTTGTAACAAATAAATTATATATTAAGTAACTGAAGTTTGTTGAAAAACTATATTCCATAAATTGTTTGTGATAACAGCAAAATATTAGAACAATTAATAAAGACATTACAAATTGCAAGCATTGTTAGAAAACCGTTCGATTTTATATGTTTATAGGTTTTGTATAATTTAGTCATTGAAAAATGTACGAAGTTACGTCATAGTTGAAATAGTATATGCATAATTATTATGCCTGATAACACTAAGCCATTACTGATATTACCACTGACTCACCGATACGTGAAAATTTAAGCAAATACCAAGGTCGTACACGAAATTGCGCATGTCTTGAGTCACGAAAGCCTGCTGGCGATATGTAAATCACAAATGCAGGAATACTGAGCCTCTGCCTATTGTCGGATAGGTAGAAGAAAATAAGCATTACTCGACTATAAAAGAAATGTAACTCGCGTCGTCTTCCGCAAGTTCGCTGCTATTTCGTTGACTGTCGCCCGAGTGTCTTGGTGATGTCATAAGTGTGCTCAAATCTAGAAAACTTAAGGAAAATTATTTTTCTGAAAACTTAGAATTGTTTTTTGACAGCGACTCTAAATGCGTGTAAATCTTCTGTTGATTTTGTTCTTCGCGAGCACTGTCTTAGCGCTAAGTGCTCGAAATAGGAGAGATACTAATGTGGTACGAATCCTTTATATCATAATTATCTTCTTTAAATTACATACGTGGAATATCAGCAGCTATAGTTATAGGTAATGCATATACCTACATTACCTAGATATATATATAAAACTATTGCTGCTAATATTCCACGTTAAAACGGTGGAAGCAATTTTTTTGCAAATTAACATGTAGCGAATAGCAATAGACTTTTAGTAATCTTATCGCCTACTACTTAAAAACTTTTTAAATTTTTATCAAGCTAACTGAGTACTTGTGGTAAATTAATTTTTATTTTTGGAACATAAGGTCCTTCTCTAAATATTGTTATTACTACATTTTTCATGTATAGAAAATCTCCATTATACGAAACAATGTCCTATTACATGAAATGTTTGTTCAATTTTCTTTTATAGTTTTGTATATTAAAATATTTTATGCAGTTTATATAACAAGTTGATCCATCGACCAAGGCTCAAGTTATTTTACGTATCTATACTTATCAATTCCATGACTTTTTGATTCAAGGGCACTGCATAGGTAAAGTTCTGTTTTACTTTTTACATATTGTTATTGACACATATCTATTCTTTTGCAGACCACAGTACAACCTCCAACCGTTACTACAACTGAAACTAACGATGGAAGTACGACAACGGATGTTACTACAGATACACGGGATAGAAACTGCAAAAATATTTTTCTTCAGCCAATAAAAATAATAGTTAAATTTATTAAACCATTCGTAATAATTATTTACAATGCTTCAGTGACGTTTTTAAACGCATTAAATTCAACGAGCGATTTTGTACTACGCTCTATAATGCAACCGGTAAGCGTTATAGCGCTACTTATTCCTTTAAAGAAATCAAACTATTTTACTTTTCCTTTTTAAATACTTTTAATATCGAAACTTAATTTTGCTCGAAGCTAGTAATATTAATATGTGAATAATTAAAATTTTGTCTATTTATGTGTAGTTTGTAGCAGTGTTAAAGATAATAATTAACGTGACGAAATGGGTGCTGCAATTATTGTTCTGATTCAATATCGTTTAAAGCTGGTAACACTAAAAATATTTTCCAAATTCCGGTAAGTAATTCACAAATATGTATAACTCAAATAAAACTTTCTTTTTTTTTATACTATCGCGTGATATTATCCATCTATAACAATTCGTTCTTCAATTAAATAAAATAAATCGAGATTGGAGTGGAATACTAGCTTTTTCATCACATATAAATATATTCTTTATTATTAATAATAATTTGTTCAATACACATAGTACATCACTATCGTCTTATTATCTCGATTCTGCGTCATACAGACTTTAACATTGTTTTCACATACGATCAACTGATTGCTTCGTCAAATAACATACAAGAAAAACGATATTTAATTTACTAAATTTATATATTTTTATTATTTATCTATATATGTATATATATATACAAGGTGTTTCAGGGTAAAGTGTCCTAACTTAAAATATGAACTTAGGACCTCAAAACAAGAAAAAACTTTCCTCTGGAGACATGTCCGTAAACGCTTTGTTTAAGAGATATTGACATCTAGACATTTTTTCATTATAAAATTTTATGAAATTGTTATCGGGTTATAATAAATAATTTAATAGTGTGCTTCAAATACTTTATTATTAAAAAATATGAAAATTTTTACTTAATTATAAATTTTGTTCAAAGTGACGGCCTTGAACATTGAGACAGGCTTGACATCTGTCTTTGACGGTAGCAGTGGCAGAGCGGCACTGAATAGCTGTAATTGTTTCACATGCTTGAATAATTCTTCCTTGTAAAGAATTAATGTCATTAATCGGCTTTTCGTAGAATTTTTGTTTAATAGTACCCCAAGCAAAAAAATCCAATGGTCCGTCAAATCCGTCGAAGACAGATGTCAAGCCTGTCTCAATGTTCAAGGCCGTCACTCTGAACAAAATTTATAATTAAGTAAAAATTTTCATATTTTTTAATAATAAAGTATTTGAAGCACACTATTAAATTATTTATTATAACCCGATAACAATTTCATAAAATTTTATAATGAAAAAATGTTTAGATGTCAATATCTCTTAAACAAAGCGTTTACGGACATGTCTCCAGAGGAAAGTTTTTTCTTGTTTTGAGGTCCTAAGTTCATATTTTAAGTTAGGACACTTTACCCTGAAACACCCTGTATAATGAATATAAAAATCTTAACAAATTATTCATGCTTACGATGAACATAATTCGATCTACAATCTCTATTGAGTACTCAAAACTAAATCACATAATCATGCACGCTATCTACTCTCTTAACTGCTCTCAATTATTAATCTTACGAATCGATATGATATACAATTATTGTAAAACAGAGATTTTACAATTATTGTGAAATAATTACTAATTACTTCTCGTAAATGAATATCGAGTATATAACGATTAAAATTGTGACCACTATTATGAAAGTAGGATAAACTTGTTCCACTAGAAAATTACGATTTGATGATCGATCATAATCTTCATCCTCGTAATTATACAATTTGTTCTCATATCAATTCTTCTGTTGCCAGATGTTACCGACACACTCTCAAAATCTTTATCTATTTATAAACATTAAAATGACCAACGAGTTATACATTTCTGATGATGCTCTCTCTTAAGAAAGTTAGAGATATAAATAATTATCAGTTGACAAGATTGGACTATTTAGAAGTCGTGACAATCACTGGGGATTACAAGAAACATTATCAAGATTCAGACTAAGAAGGAAGTCCATCAATTAAATACCTATCATATTTTTTGGTAAACAGCGGAAACTTTTTGGTTAACTATCTTTACCTACTTAAATTGCCTTATATGTAAATGTATTTATAAAATAATGTTCAATAATTATCAACAACGTAATTGTTACGTTTTCTTTCCTGATCTTTCGTAATAAATTTTCGTCTCGTTCGTTGTGCTCGTATTCCTAGAAATACAAATTTGCAAATTCGGCGCGATTGAAATCGGCGAGATCCTCTCGATGAGGATCCTCAGAGAGGAAGCAATACCGACGAAAGATTCGTTTCTGCTGCGTGCGACGGGAGGAAGGTATTATCGATCTTAGACGGTGGTTTCGTCTAAGATCGATCTGAAATTCTAGGTGTTGGTAGTGTCGTAACTCTTGTACGTGTGAGATGATCTCTTGTGCCTGACTGTGCAGAAGAGAATCATACTGGCCACCTGGCCGAACAGCTGGAGGAAGGCCACGACGAGGCCCACCGTGCCCACCACGTGAAGTCTGGTTACCAGCCACATTTGAATGGCGGTCGCGCATCCTTCCTTGTACCAGAGCTCCTTATTACGACCCTCCGAATCTAGGCGACCACAGTATCGTTCCCGCTGCATGCAGCAGGAATCCGGCACTCGATCCTCCTCGGGCCACGCCTCGATTTGGAACCAATCCGTGTAATCGCGTACACCGCAGCAATGAAACTGAAAGCGTAAATTCAAAACTCTGTTAGATTAAACATCCACTTAAATCTAATCCAAACAGCACACGTGCCTAAAAGATATTGAAACATCTTTTAGACATACATGTCTAAACTTAAAAACACCTTAAAAATGTCTTATAGACGCGCGTGCTGTCTGGGAACTTCCTGAGCAACGTGAAGCGGTTGATATTTTAGCAGACAGCTACGTAAAAATCCATAAAATATGATCGTGGTGGTGTGGTTTGCAAATATTTTAATTAAACAAACCTCCGTGTGTATGTGGTCCCACATGGCAGAGAGTGTCCCCGGCTCCCTCGTAATATTATAGTGCTTCTCAATGCCGTACAATAGTTCCTCCTTCAAGCTCCTCGCGAGATGTTCTCTAAACACGAACGCCAAGGTGCCCAGCATGAACTCGGCGAGAAACATGAGTATTACCAGGCTGAAATACTAAAAATTACAGGACGTTTAGACGTTTTCTTCCCATTATCACCCGGAAAATCTTTGCGAGGCCTTCGAGATTTTCGAAAAACCTTCTAATTATTCTAATCTCTTTCGCAAACCGGAAGACAGCTGGCGTTGAACAGGAATACGAGGGAAAAAAATATTTCCTATTCTATGTAATTATTATACTGTGCACGCGAGGTCTCCATACTATGCTAACGAATTTATCGATCCGTCACATTACGCCACTGTGTGAATTCCACGGGAACATGCGATGAAAAGAATCTTTTGGCCTAGCAGGCACGTCTATCTCAATGTCAGTTAAAAATGAGCAAAATAAACGAAGAGGAAAGTCGACTTTTTGAAAATGTAGCGTAGTTAGCATGCGGATTGCTCTGCGACAAACTGAGCAGAAATAATTATTCGAAAGACAACAAAAATTCAGATCACGGTCTATCGACGACGAAGATATTCAAGATAGCCAAGTTACGCGCTTCGGTCTGTGCGCTGCGTGTGTAATACGCTGCATGCATATTACAAAAAGATGCGTGATTTACTGTACCGCGGGCTTTTTGCAAGGCACGTGTTTTACAATGGATCACGTTGTACCAACCGTGATCAGCATGCATCTTGACTGGAACCACGCGCCGCAGCATCCGAAGAAGGCGATGACGAATGTGACGCATCCCGCGGCGAGCAGCAGCGAGTCCGCCGACACGAAGCTGTACTGCGGTACCAAGGTCGCGTATCCGGAGTAAGCCAGTCGCAGCCAAAGGCCCGCACCCAAAATTCCACAAGCGCATAACTGTAAAACATAATTACACGCCGTCAGTTTGTGCCGTGCATCATAAACGTATGACTTTCAACGGGCGTGTTTAAAATCAGACCCATTGAAGCCGAAATGACACAGCAAACAAAGTGCCAAAGTGGATCGAGGTACAGCGAGACAGTTGAGCAGGGAATGATTCTACTAGTCGAACTAAGTCGAAATGATAAAGTAAATTTTTTTCAAATAAATCATGTTCAAGAGAAACTCTTGAATCTATCACAAGAACCTGTCACTTGAACAATGAAAAAAAAAAAGAGATTCTTCGTTTGAATGAACAGAAATCATTTATTCGAATTCAATTCGCAGAATACAACTTTGTATAAGACGTAGCCATCATTTTTAACGATGTCTTAACTAAGCAAGAAATAAAGTGTGAGCAATCCAATTAATGAAATTATGTCATACAAATTCACTCGTCTATCTTAAGAGTCGACTACGAGTAATTGAATTAGTTCTGAGACTATAACATAGATAAACAAGCCGGAACGTCTGTAGCGAAACCTATTACTTCAAACGAGTGCACGCGTACCCGACTAACTTTCAAAGTTCTTTTTCTCAAAAACAAGATCTTATTGAAAAAAAATTATTCCAGCATTTCGACTTATGTTAAGGCGTAGAGTCACTCCTGTCCCGATTGTACTCTGCACTCTGTACTTCAGAACGGATCGTGATTATACATAGACAGTATTATATAATTGTATGGAGTATTCCAAAACCGCTGCGTGTAAATTCTCTCAATCACGACTTTTGCGGTATTCATTTTGCGAAAACCTTCCGATTCCGAATCTGTCAAGAAATTCGCAGCTAAAACGATATTCAATAGTTTTGGGATTCTGTTTACAACAAATATGCGTAGCTTTCGGGCAAAGGATATCTCGTGTTCAAAATTTAAGTATGCGAAATATAGTAGAAAACGATACGTTGAATAGCTGCAAACCGTGATTATAAACTGAAGAAGGAACAGCGACTTCGCCAGTAGCTGCGTGTCTCGCGAGATCGCGTTAACGTTAACTCGATAACAATGATCCGCGAGGTATGTACTCAGAGATCTGGGAAATTATAATTAAAAGCGTCGAGAGATGCTTATCGCACGCCACTCGTAGCACGCGAATTCACTGGGTCAATGCCGCGTTATTTTCATTCCGCTACCCCTCCGACAATGCACGCTCAAAGGCACAAAGGTACCTCGAACCACGCAGCATTTTAAGCAAAATCGGAAAGTGGAAAGTGGACCGTGAATTAGAAAGTAACGCGACGTATTTCGAATCATCCACGCGGATGGAAGATCGATGGCTGCGGTTGACAGCCGTCGCGAAATTTATTTAACTCACGGTCAATGCGCCGACAAATGTGTGACGGGTGAATGGCAAAATTACGCTATGTCGTCACTCGCGCTCGCGAGATAACAATTAAAATAACAGCTAATAAACTGTGCTGACGCTATTTCTGTCGTTGACCGGCAAAGTGTATCGGGTGTCAATGCGGTCAGCCGTATATATTTAACGGTTTATCGTTCACCTGCTAACTCATTCGCAAACAGAGGGACTTCTCGAGCCCTCGCGAGAGAGGCTTTCTAGATAAGCCGGCGGTTACCTCGCCGTGCTGTCAGTGACAGGAAGTTAACTCAACGACCAGGTGAATGTTGACCTTACGGTTAATTCAGCCGATCCCTTTACATCGAGATACATCCGACACGCGATAGCGATAGTCCCTCGTCATCGAGTCCACCCATAAATGAAGAGACGAGCGCGTCTACACGCAGCGTGTAATATCCGCGGAAGAACCGCAACGGTAATTTATAAATTGCACGTCGCAGTGTGATTAGGAAATTAATGCACTGTTACGCGACCCCGATAGCTAATTGTACAAAAGAGCGCGTCCGTACTTTCTAATTACCGTCAATGGTGCGTGCGCGAAAACGGAACGGAGTTTTTGCAACGGCATTATATAATTCGCAATACGTGTCGTTGACCGCCAAACATTCGACTTGTACCGAATGCCGCAAAATGTTTATCAATGACGTTACAATTTTTTAATAATCTTAGATAAAGATTATTGTTCCATCGCTCCACTAAATTTCGAGCCTCTTTTACGTACTGTGCCGCCAAATACTACAATAAGCTACAACCTTCCATTAGTTCATCTTCCACTCTCGCCTCTTTTCGTTCCTCACCCCCATGAAAAAATATACATGTAAAAATATTTTTTAATATATGTGTTACATAAATTGCATATATATACATATTTTAATATACAGTTGTAAATATAAAACATATTTGTATATATATTCTTTAGTAAGTCTAGGCGGGCGTCTCATCAATTCGACCACCGAGGCATATGCCCGCCTAGAGTGTAGGGAGGCCCAGGTTCATATCCTGGCTGAGATAATACTTTTTGCAAAGAATTTCTTTAATTAGAATTTGCCAACCAAGCGTCGTCTAGCAATTTTTTACATTGGTTTTTCAAGCTTGTCGATTGGCCGCAGAATAGACAATTTCTAGAGACTCGAGAACACTTTTCTATTCTGCAGCTAATCAACATGCTTGAAAAATTTGTCGTAAATGTAATATTAGCCTCACTCAGTCGGGAGTTCGCGCGACGAACCGTGATTAGTATCGAAGTATAATAAGACGCGACAACAGGTGACGGCGTTTCGAGCGGCAGTAAAGCGCAGGACACGTGTACCAGTTTCGCAGCACGCAGAGCAACCGGTACCGCGCTTTATCGCCGACTTGGGTACCGTAAGTTCATAGCTCATAGAGCACGGTTCAACGCCCTATTTAAGGCTCTCATCGCGATACCAGACGCCGCGGACGGACGATTTCAAGTGGAATAATAAAGCCGGGGGAACGGTGAATGCGGCGGAATGCGGTGCGAATTACAAAAGCGCGTCGTCGGTTTAATCGCCGGCCCGCGTGGGTCGTTATTACCGCCGGCTATTGTCTCATTTCTGTCATTTCTGACCAATTGGTGTCCCGCACTGTATGTACGCGCGTTTGCGAATCGTTTTCGCCGCGACGATACTCTTCATTCGAAAGTCGAAACGTTCTCACGCATATCTTTCCAGCGCGAGCGAGATGCTCAAATATAGCTCAAGTACCGCTCTTGAATAATTCGCAAAATAAATCGATCTTGATATATAAATACAATAACAGACACAATTTTCAGTCTCATATGGACTCGAGTGATTTCCGCTGGTTAAAAAAAATCACATTAAAATTATATAATTAAATTATAAATTAGAATTGTTCTGCTCTCTTAGACCATGACGTAGCACCGAGAATGATCGATCAAGAGACTATCTACGTACCCAGATTAGAACGTTGAGGGAGCAGAAAACGTGCCTGATGCACGTGTATCCTGTGCGGCCCATGGTTCGATCTTTCATCAGATCCTTACTCCGAAGGGACTGGCAACGTTTCCTGGAAACGTAGAAATAGCAACATAATCCCTTTGGGCAAAGGCAGGAGGCGGGTAGAGAATGTATCGTTTGGCTACAAGAAGGCTCTTGAGATTAGCACCACACATCGCGAATTGACGTGAGACAGCAGTGCCCGTTCAAGGTTGCGAAGCTATCTCGGCGATCGTTCACCGGTGTTAATTACAACGACTCAATCAGCAACTCTGGTCTACCGTCGTGCGAACGCGCGGAGAGGCCTACGTTTTTTCTTTACATCACAAATATTACGACAATTGTGTGCCGCCGATAAGAAACCCACCGTACGCATCAGCGCGAGAGCCTCGTGATGCGCATCACGGATCACCAGGAAATACTACATCTACGTTCGAGGAGCAACCTGAGGTGGACAGGACGTGGGAGGAAGGGGAAGAAGCCGCGGCGAGAGAGAGAGAGAGAGAGAGAGAAGCGAAGAGGAGGAACGGTAGGTGAGGAGATCGAGGGGGAGGAGATGGAGGAGGAGAACAAGAAGATCGACATGCGACCTACACGCGAGCGAGGATCCCGCTCGAGCGCACCGACGAGGAGGATCTCTAGGATCGTCCCAGCTGACTGACTGCCGGCCGACCCCGATCAGATACCAATCCTCGTCGGGCGACGGTCCGCTCCGATATGTCTGAGAACCGGCCGATTGGCTCCGGTCTCCTCCGGTCTCCTCTCCTGGGCCTTCTAGGTCCACTAACGGGACAGCCGCAGCCAAGCCGTTCACCCAAGCGCGATCACGAAAAGACACCTACGAAGGGTATATTGCTCGTCGAACGTCACTTTTCCCGTAAGCCGTAGGCAGTCGAGTCGCGAGCAAAGGAAAGAAAAGGCATCTTCAAGGCCGCTGCAAGACGCGTCCAGGCGGTCTCCCGTTATTTCCCTCGCGTCTCACATCGTGCCGCGTACTCTTCGTTAACCTTTTACATCCGGATTGAGGTCTCTTACGCGCACACATACACGTTGTGCTCGCGCACGGGGAACGCAGGCAGAACGCCGAGGTGCAAAGGTGAAGGTAACTTTCGCCGAAAGGTCTCGCGTATAAAAATCCCCGCTTTCCTAGAAACTCTCATTCAGGTGTATAATAACGCCATCGAGCCACTTCCCACGGTGTTCATCGCTTCCTTTTCGATGAAATCCGATTACCTACGTGTAATCTGCAACTTAAGTTCGTAGACTGTCCGAAAATCATTACGAACTACCCTCTCTCTCTATATATACATTTTTTCCACATTAACATCATTTTTTACATTAACTTTTCCTGTCTTTTCCTTGGTGTAACAAATTTTTAACACGCCGATGAAAAGGGTGAGCTGCGTGAAAAAAAAAATCGAACTGCTCCTCCTAGATCGTGAGATCTGTAACGTGTGTTGGCGCATCGGAAATTCAAATTGCAGCGACCGGTCCATGCGAGTTTCCTACTCATTGCGATAGCTATGCAAATATATATTGATCGGACAATATGCACGACGAAAGAGACGTTGAATAAAAGATTATCCTTGCAACATTTCTCACGTCAGGTGCGGCGAACCGCTATCATCTACGGTCTCACGTTGTTACGGTACTTTCGTTCCATCGATTGTTTTCGCCGGGTTGCTCACGATACGTTATAATTAGCATAATTAGTAGAGCACGAGCAATTTCACTGAATTATTAAATTCCCTCTCGTGTCCTTACGAAGCGAGGCAAAGAATGAGATTGCCAGAGGCTACGCTCACTAAAAAGGGAGGCATCTCTTCCTGTGTTCAATCGAAGCGGTTTAACAACGGCTTTATGAGCAAAAATCTTTATTCTTTTATTAAGTAAAAACTTGGATAGTTCTATTAAAATCTGCTAAAATGTCAATGATAAATTTTTACCCGACGAAACGCACAATCAGCGCCAAATTCGAACGTATCAACAAAATTGAGTAACAACGTAAATCGAATGATTGTACACGCACTCGCGCACACCGGCGCAATTAGCGCAAACAATTTTTACGTGCCATTTGAAAACTTCGTGTCAAACCCGACGATCGATACGATCGACGTTTTCCAGCAAAAAAAAAACACGGGCATCGTGTCGAACGAGCATTCGCGGTTTAACGGAAAATCTGTTATCAGCTCGTTGCATGATTAATGCGTTCTCTCCCTACTTGCCGCAATGGAGGCCGTTATCAGAATTGAATAATATTGATTCACCTTATCAAGAGCCACGCACGCTCTCACGCAGAAGTCCACCCGTCGTGATATTCGTGCCACTTGTCACCCGTTAAATAAGAACGCGAGGTAAACGGCGCGAGCGAATGCAAAGAGCGGTGAAGAGTGGAACGGAAGGGACGCGGTTCTGATGAAAAAATAGAATATAATGTTCGATCGCTGACACGATCTAACTCGCAAAAGACGCTCGTGGACTTCACCTTGCCGCGGTCACGTCTTTTCCATCCCTCAGCTGCGTCACACGTTAAGAACGAGGTGACAATTATAGCGCATACTGGAAGGTGCGGAAGGAAGAAAATCTCCCTCCGTGTGTTTCAGCACGGGGTATATTTATATGCACCTCGGCGTGCTCTTATTTTTATCCCACGCGGCTGTTACATTATCATAAAATTCCCGATATCCGTGTGACATCGAGTTGCTTTATCGTTTATAAAATTTTCCGCCGATATCATTAAAGATACTCCAGAATGCGAAGCGCTCGGACTTCTCCGTTTCGATAAAGGAAGAGAGACCCGCGTCGAAAGAGATCAGTCTCAAAGAAAAAAAAACTGTTCTAAAAATTAATTATTATTTATTTCAGAAGATTACTTGACCATGTCTGGCAAATTTTTACGTTTAAACTCACAACGTTTCGACCATGGTTTGTGGTCCTTTTCAAGTGATAGTTGTGTCAGTAAATCCGTATGGTAGATGAGTCAGTCATGCTCTGTCGTTCGTGAAATTAAGCTCAGTTCTTTTAATTTGCCATACGGATTTACTGACGCAACTACCACTTGAAAAGGACCACGAACCATGGTCGAAACGTTGCGAGTTTAAACATAAAAATTTGCCAGACGTGGTCAAGTAATTTTCTGAAGTTTTTAATTACTTCTGGCTACCTATCAGATTGCCTCCAGTCATTAATTGTTATTTAGTCTAAGCACGACGAGAAGATGTTCGGTGAGGTGCGAGGGGGTCGTATGAAAAGATTAATCGAGATCGAGATCAATTTTCACGGACGAAATGGAAGGCTGCGCGAAAATAATGTACATTAGAGCGCGAAGGGGCGCACAAACGGTCCCCCTGCCTCGACTTCCTGCCAATTGCGGACAATTTGCCGTCATCTATGATCTCCCCACTCGCCGACGCCCGTCGTCGTCGCATGAAACGTGTGTGGACGCGCGGTGCCTAAATGTAAAAGTTAACACGGCCCGGTTCTCTCTGAGAAGCCCGTCTCTTTCACCATTTCATATGCCATACGTTCGCGTTAACACGTCCTACACGCTCAATCTTCCCACGTGATGTAATCTAGGGAAAAAGGCTCGCACGCGTGTCTCGCGCGTTATCAGTCTTCCGGTGGCCGTATACGTGTGCGGAATGCACAGGTTTTTCTTGCCGCGAAAGTACGTAATCTCGCCAAGCTGTAATTGGTACTTTGACGTATCGGTCCTTTGTTCTCGTCAAAAGTATCCCAAACTGCTACACGAACTGATGTCTTAAGCCCTGTGTCCACGATCCAAGAACTGTGT